TGAGGCGGACTTACAATTTTTTATTGTAAGATTTGAGGGACTAACGATTCTATGAGATAGTTCATTCCTTACTATTATTAGGGATAATTACTTCTAGTGACTTATAATTGAGTTTTGTAAACCCGTTGATTGTCAAAACACATGTTAGTATGCTTTATTTTAATTATATTTATTGTTTGAACTTTATCTAAAGATTAATCCTTGCAAAATTTACCAAATTATAATAAAAAAAATTGCTCTATATTATTTAACTAAAGATTTATCCTTCCGCAGTTTACCTCAAGTTCTTTTATACTTAATGAAGATTTAATTTTATATAATAGTGATGATTGGTTAATAATTTGACTTCAAATATCTTAACCAACCCATCTAATTTAATATTGTTAAAAGTGTATGTATTTTGACTAATTGTATTTAATTTGTTAAGCATTCAGAGTCAATGAAATATACAACTACATTCTTGAGCTAAATTATTTCATAAGGAGACATATTATGGCCTTGCATTAACTTGATAGCTAGATAACATTTGTTGATCAATAATAATACGGTAACCCTTCATATTAGGTATGTTTTTACCTGTTCCAATACGAGATCTTGTTATCTGAATGTTTCTGCTCTCGGTGACATGAATTCCATCAGTGTTTGGGCTATTTCCTGGCGATTTTATGATTATATTTGAAGCTCTTACAGCACTGCATTTCTGAAATGTCATATGCATTTGTTGTGCATTCGTTATCTTTAAACCATCCACTATGAAGTTCTTGCATCCCTCAAAGGTTACCGCCTTCACAACAAATTTAACCCAAAACAATGCAATTATATTCGGTAATATCAGCTCATTTTAAAAATATAGTACGATAATGAATTCATCAAGGAAATGATTACAGGACTGATTTATTAAGATGAAGTCATACCGTAGGTGCATGTTGACAGGGCTGCAAAGATAAATGTATAAAGATTATTAAATCGTGCAACTCATTTGTAGTAGAAAAAATTTAGGAAATGTGAGTTTTAATTAGATAATTACCTTGGTTGTATTGATCTTACAAGAATTCTGCCACCAAATATGTCCCCTGCCATCAATGGTACCTCGACCTTTAATCTTGAAGTTGGTTATGTTTTCGAATTGTAGCCAATGTAGTCTATCTCTGTAGTCTGCTAGATTGGTAGACGCCTCGATTCTTCCTTTGATCTACACAATAAACCACAAGTATATCATATTATATCATATCATATCATATCATATGTATTGTACTTGAGAAAGAAAGTACGTGCATATATATATATTAGTAGTTTATTCGTTTGGATTGTATTGTATTGTACCTTTATGGTGAGAGGAGAACGACACGGTCCAGAGAACTTAATTGGTCTGACCCTATACTTCTTGTTTCTTGGCACTAGCAATATTGCACCCTTGGTTGAACATACCTTCTTCCAAGCTCTCTTAAAACCCTTTTTCATGTAAAATAAATATGACAAAAAACACAATTAAAAAAAAAATAATTACTACCTTATAATTTATATGAACTATAGATTAAAATACCTTGGTATGATCTCTCCTTCTTCCTGACTTGATAAAATGTTCTACATTAATAATTCTTGAAGGCGAAGATGAAGGGGAAGGGGCTCTTCTAGACCGAGCTCGATGAGAATGATGCCTATTACGATCAAGGATCACCTTATCATAATTGTCTAGACTTTGTGAATCAAGCTCGTAGTTGTAATTATTGTAAGTCCCCTTATTATCATCATCACTAATATTGTTGTTGTTAGTAGAATACTTTGTAATGTAATTCCTCGAATCGCGTTCCGGGAAGGGATAGCTAGATAGGCATACCGGAAGAAACGAAGAAATAAGGATGGTAAGACCACCAACAAGTATAAGAAGATGTGATATTAGAGACATTCTTATTGATTTATGTCTTAAATTATTTGTGCACTTAAAGACAATGAATAATAATAATATTATTATAATATAAGATAATAATAATAAAGGTTGGTTGTAAAAAAAACAAGTGAAGAAATGTATTTATAAAGAGATGAGGTTTCTTAAATTGTGTAGAAGAGAAAGAGTTGATGGGTTCGTTAAAAGAAGAGAATGAGACGGAAGAGTAAGTTAAATTTGATGGATTGATACCCGATTTTTACCTTTCCCTTCTCTTAATAATAATGGTTAGTTAGACTCCCATTACTATTAGCCCTTTCTCTCTCTCTAATTGTTATTTGCTTGTTTACCAACAAGCCTTTCACATATGTCATGCATTCCTATTTCTATCTAATAGTCCAATAAGTTCTCCCTCATCATCGAAACGAACCCATTTGATACCAATTTTAATTTATTTTCTTATTTTACTTGCTATTATTATTCATTTGACAATACATACTTGGCGTAATTAGAATATTTCCTTTTCTCATATTATTTCAATAACTTAGGGTATGTTCTCTTCAGCTTAATTTTAGTTTATTTCAGTTCAATAAATCAGAACAGACCCTTAGAATTAGATATTACCCTTAGAATTAGATCTTACCAAAGAATGATACTCCAAATATCATTGGATGTTTTTTGAGTTTTAGTTGGACACTCAAATTTGGTAAATTAAGTGTATAAAACACTGAACTTATTTATTTATTTTTTCTGTTGAGAGTTAGGTATAGCTCAAGTGGTTAGACCTTCCCTGATCTCTCGATTCCAAGAGATCTTGGGATCGATTCTTATCACCTGTCCTCGTGGCTATCTAAACAAAAAAAAAAAAAATAGTTATTTTCCATTTCATAGTTGATTACTAGGCTTCTTTGCCCCTCATTATGGAAAATTTTACAATAGGGAAATCTAAAGAATCCGTTGATATGTCTTAGTGTATGATTCATTCCTTCAATAGAAATAGTTTGTAACTTGTATGTAAGATTGTAATAACAGTATTCTGCCCATAATATTCAAGTAGGAATAGTAAGGAACAAATAACAAGATCTAAGATTACATATCTATGGCTTTTCCTTATTTGATTACTGGACAAAGTAGGTTAGCTTCAAACGTCATGCAAGTTTATAAGTCCTAAACCTTCAAGCTAACAATGAGTATAAATATTTTAAATTTGAGTAAAAATAATAATTATTGAAAGAGTCATATAAATATTATGCTACTATACCATGAAAATAAATTTTAATAGTGTTAATTAATTCTAATTGTATTGGTTCATATAAACAATATAAGTCATAAGAAAAATTTAGTTAAAGTTGACAATAATTTGGTCGAAAAAGTAGAAATTCTGTCACATTTCTAACACTTTTATGTGCACTGAAATTAAAAGTCAATAATTTTAATTTCGATCTTGCTAACGAGCGCCCCGTGGCGTTAGTTAAGGATAAATTTTATTGGTTGAGATGGTATTAAGTTAGGAATTCATGACAAAATCACGCGTCGTTCGGTGTAATTAATGTTAATTTTACTCTAATATTTGCACTTTAATTCTCTTATCTAACTCCCCGGGGGCGCTCATTAGTTTTTGTCTATTAATTTAGGCAATAAAAACCACAATCAATGTCAATGGTCAATTTATGCAAACTAACACTAATTACTCCGTAAAATGTTTATGGTCTGAAAATTACAACCACGCCCTTTTAATTCCACAAGGATGAAGAAAACAGAATTATTTGCTGGTTGAATGTATTTGTGCCCTAAGCCCAACCCATCCCTCTTAACGAATAAGAGTTGTTAAATTTAAAATTTTATTGTGTGCTCTTATATTTGACTTTTATTAGTTAAGTAATTATTAATTTTAAATTGAAAACAACAAGAAAAGGTGAAAAATTACAGTAAGGAAGCTAATTTAAGGTCTCGTGGTACAAACTATCATTAGTCTGTCATATAATGTTTAAGCAAGTCTATAATTAGCATGCATTATTATAAGAGCAACAACGTGCAACAATGAGATGAGAGATGACAAAATAAAAAGGCGAAGGAAAAATTGAAAAAGGAGTAGATAAAAGTTAAGTTAGGAAATTGAAGTTAGCAAAAATTGTAGGTAAAATATTAGGAGTTCCTAGCAAGAAAAGGAGGGATGGGAGATGATGAAGGTTTGGGTAAATTAGATAATGTGAATGTCATTTGCGTGGTCCTAGAAGCTATATACGAGTACTTGTACAAGCTAATTCTTTTCTTGCGTCATGAATGGCCAAACCCCTTAGACTTTGAACTTTGAGGTCCTGCTATGTGCCGTGATTGATTGCCGTCTATTATACACTTTTCTCTTCTTAAGGTACACACCACCCTCCCTTTGATAAGGACGATAACACTGCAATCGATAATGTTTTTTTTCGTTATTTTTTATGCAAACAAAAATGTCCCACATTGACTTCCGTTTGTGTATTGCACATAAAAGTAAGGTACTTATTAGAACCGTATCATTATATAGTTATCAAGTACCAAGTTGTTAATATTTATTGGTAATTAGAAATATAATTAGCCAAACTTCTGCATTGACAAACATATCGGTCAAATTAAGGCATTTCTTTTTTAAAAAAAAAACCCTTTAATAGGCTTTCAATAATTTCAAAATATTACAAAGTACTTCGTATTGTATAATTATGAAATTATTTAATTTAATAATTATAATTATCTATTTATCTTGGAGAAATGTTCAAGGTAAACTAAATTAAAACTTACTCTAATATCCAAAAAAAAAAATTTACTCCATATACTTTAGTGTTGTTTTTTGTTTTCATCTCTTACTCTTTGGGCTACAAGGCAACAACTATGGACTGTAATGGGCCTAACACTCAACAAATTGATTTGGCCCAAGCCCAGCTGTGCCAAACATCCTAAAATTTCCAAATGCCTTATTTAGTGAGTACGTGTCACAAGAATAACCTGTTGAAAACTAGAAAGATTCTGAAGGCCACATAATTTGTGCTATCAACAGTCACTAGTCATCAGACAATCTACAACAGTCTACAACTGCAACTTCTGCCATTCACCAGATATTGAGAAATTTCAGAAAATTATGGGTGAAGGAGAACAAGGGAAGAAGCAAACAGAAGAAAAACATGGAATTGTACAAGTTAACCCAAATCCCAACAAAGGGTTTACTTCCAAAGCAATTGATTTGTTAGAAAAATTGATTGTCAAATTGATGCATGATCCTACTAAACCTCTCCATTATCTTTCTGGCAATTTTGCTCCTGTTCTTCAGGAAACTCCTCCTGCTAAGGATTTACCTGTTCATGGTCATCTTCCTGTAAGTACCCTTTTCGTTTCTTTTTCTCTGTTTTTAAGTTTGTTATATACTGTTTGTTTTTCCCTGCCTTTTGATTTCCCTAATAATGATTTTCAAGTATTTAACTTTCTGGGATTACTCATTTACTAAATGGGTATAGTCCCATAGGTATGATTAGCCCGTGTTCGGTTTATATACACCCGGGTACATGGTACTTGTTATAAAGTGACAACAAAATTAAGGAGGGTTTCGTATTGTTGCAAATGATAAGAAACGGAGGTGGTGTTTAAATTGTTGCACTGTTATGTAGTAGGGTTTGTGGATTGTGCAGTTTTTGTGGTGGGTTAGTGGGCTACAAATTTCTTGTGAGTCATGATGATGGTGGTTAGATTGCTGGTGAAGTGGTGGTCATTAAGAATAGATAAACATATGGAGTAGGTTTTGTGAAATTTAGATTGGTGAAATTAATTTCATACATTTGGTCCTTTGAAACTTTTGGTGGATATTGCTCTATTCTAGTTGCAATGTGATAAAATACGAATTAGAGAACGAATGTGCATGGTTTCCATGTTTCAACCTAATTACGTATGTTCTCGAAACATCCCCAATTGTTTATTATGATAATAGCCACATACTTGTACGTAGCATAATTTAGTAGGTACAGTTTAGTAGAGGATTAATGCTAATTATTTTAATTATGTACTTTGTCCATTGTGCTATTTTATTATTAATACTTTTGAGTGTGAAAAGTTTGAGTCAATTGTATATACTTTGTAATGGCAATCTATATTTTATTTGAACTAATTACTAGAGGCCAATATGGTGAATTTGCACTTTGCAATCTGGAAGGGAGAATATAGTGAAACATTTAAGTTGGGCTGCAAATGTTAGTCATCAACATAATGGTTTATGAAGCAACTATAATTTGCAAGTGATGGTTAACACTTTATTTTCATTTGCCCTTGCTTTATAACGTGATTCGCTATGTCATGGAAAGGAACACAATAGATGAAAACAAACTAGAATTTTAGCAGCTACATAACATCATAACATCAAATTGTAGGATGAAAATTTAAATGCTGTCAGGCTGTCAGCTAGCTTAGTATAAATGCAGCTTATTCTGTTTGGTTTAATCCAATTCTCTGAAATACTACACCAGAATTCTGAAATACATAGTTCCTTTCCTTTTATTTGGAAGAAGATATAATGGATAAATCCACTTGATTTTTCATACATAAACATTCATCATTACAGGAATGCTTGAATGGAGAGTTTGTCAGGGTCGGACCCAATCCAAAGTTTGCTCCTGTGGCTGGATATCACTGGTAAGTTGTAACTCCTCTGTTGTGATTCATATTTAAAAAGTTGGTTACCTATGCAATGACTAATTTTAGTAATTAATTTTCTTGCAGGTTTGATGGAGATGGGTATGCTGAATACATCTTTTTCTCTTATAACTGGTTTGGGTTATTTGATATTTCAACATAGTTAAGCATTTGGAGAAATGAACTTTTTTTGGAAATTATTGAACCATTTTCTCCACTTCCTTAATTATGGACTACAGTGCCCATTTAAGACCCAAAAACCCAGAAATATCATTGAAGCTCAAGGCCTATCATATGTCTCTTATTCATGGATCATCTTCCTTCTCTAAGTATAGCTTCAAACTATGTAGTACAAAATATATTCTACCTCCGTTACAGGTTATGTGTAACGATTTGAGATAAAGCAGAGAGGGAAAATGTCTCTAATTGTTGCACATAACCTGTAACGGAGGTAGTATTAGCAGACATTCAATCTCATAAGTAGTCACTTCCACTCATATAGATTTATGCCATTTGATAGATGCAATAAAGATGTATGATCTGTTATTTGTAGTCATATTATGTATCAGATTACTTTTACCAACAACAAACGTCAATATGTTTTGCCTTCCTTTACAGCATGATTCATGGATTGCACATTAAAGATGGGAAAGCAACCTATGTCTCCCGCTATGTTAAGACATCAAGGCTGAAACAAGAAGAGTTCTTTGAAGGGGCAAAATTTATGAAGGTAAGCAATTGGATATTGAAACAAAAAATGATTTGTGCAACTGAGTTTGCAGTAATAAAAATGACTTGTTCCCCATATCTGTTTAATGGTCTATAACTTCATAGCATTAGTAATAAATCTGGAGACAATGCTCACATACACCTTTTACCATAACATTTCTGTAAAAAATGTGTTATTAGCCATGTTTTCATGAATGTCATTGATTTTATATTTTATATTTCCTCACTATTGCTTCTGAATCAAAGATATTATTAAAAAAATTACATTTGATACAATTGATTTTTTAAATTACTCATAACAATGTGTTTACAGTAGTAGTTTTGTCACTGATTTTTCAAATTATTGCTGCCGATTGCTCAACATTTTACGAAAAACCGTTTATTGTTTAAATTTTGTTTACATTTAGTTTTGGAAATTGGACTAGTTGTCTAACTAGTCACATCTCCTACATTTGGTGCTTCAAATTACACTTAAGTGTACTAATGCATGTTAATAGTGCCCTGAGAGTCTTGAGACTGCATAAGTAACTAATGAATATTTTTGAATGTTATTCACTCTTAGAATGCAATTTGAATGGGATCCATATGATAGACTCTTAATGAAGTCCTGAATTCCTGATGAAATTTTATTTTATTTTTTTGAATGGATAAAGAGTATTATATTGTAGGCCTTACACTTGTCTTTTCTCATACCTTTGCAGATTGGAGATCTTAAGGGGCTTTTTGGATTACTTACAGTCAATTTGCAAATGCTCAGGGCCAAGCTGAAAGTACTAGATATGTCATATGGAAATGGGACAGGTTTTTCCCTCTACTTTTATAATAACTCAATCCTTAGTGCTTGACCAAAAAGCTCTCTCCTGTAGTAGGAAAATAAGTATCACTTGGCTACTTGCAACTAGTATCTCATTCTTTGTGCTTTTGCTGGCTAAATCAATGCCTCATTGGTTTGAAGGAATATTTACTTTAGTTATGGTTTTACGTTCACTTGTCATTTTGATTATTTTTGGGTCATATATGTGTTTTTCATCTTTATACAGCTAATACTGCTCTTATATATCACCATGGGAAGCTGCTGGCACTTTCTGAGGCAGATAAACCATGTAAGTTTTGATATTCTGTCAACTATATTCATTTTGAGTTACCAAATTGAGTGTTACTTGTTTAACTTGATGATGACTTTAAATATCATTTGCCAAAAAACAGTAGTGATAGATTTCTATCCAGAGGTTGGTGATAGCTCTTGCTAGTACCTGATGTATGTGACACTAAGTGCTCTACTTTGCTGTTTTATCCAGATGCTATTCGTGTTTTGGAAGATGGGGATCTTCAAACCCTTGGAATGCTTGACTATGATAAAAGGTTGACCCACTCATTTACAGCTCATCCAAAGGTTGACCCTTCCACAGGTGAGATTTATTTACTCTTCCAAAAAGCACACACATTAATCTAAAAATTTTCTTTTTTGTAGTTTCACTTATCAAACTCAAACTTTTGGTGCAGGGGAGATGTTTACATTTGGCTACTCTCATCAACCACCATATATCACATACAGAGTAATATCGAAGGATGGATACATGCATGACCCTGTACCAATAACAATCCCTGCGCCTATCATGATGCATGATTTTGCGATCACTGAGAACTATGCTATTATCATGGATCTTCCTTTACACTTTAGACCTAAGGTATGGTAACTTTTACCAGCTTTCTTTTCTTTTTTTTCCTTCAAAATTATCTTTCATGCAACATCATTGATAGGGGTTCGGGAGAGGGGGGGGGGGTGCTCAAGCAAACTTGATAGTAGAGTATACCTTAGCTTCTGTTGGAAACAAGGCTTATCTGTTTGACAGTTGTTGCCATACATCTTTGTAGGATTTTGATGCATCATGATGCTGCCTTATTGTTTTCCATTTAATTCTCCCTTTTTCCCCTCCCTCCACTAGTGCTTCTGCTACTAATCTATTGGTCTTATATTCTTGAACTTCCAGGATATGGTGAAGGAAAAGAAACTAATTTTCACTTTTGACTCAACATTAAAGGCTCGCTTCGGTGTACTACCACGATATGCTAAGAATGAGAGTTTAATCAAATGGTTTGAACTGCCAAATTGTTTCATTTTCCATAATGGTGTGTTCTAGACTTCTAGCTACCTTTTTTTTCTTTTTTTATTAGTCATAGATTTTAAGCATTTTTATCACATATAGAGAATATTTGTATTTGTTATGTTGATTGACTATTTCAAGATCATTAACTGAATCAGCAGATGTTAACATTATCTAACAATTATATATATGTTTAAAATGAAATTATAAAAAGTAATTGCATATATTAATGCATTTAATCATGTATATTGTTTATGTTGACAGCCAATGCGTGGGAAGAAGGAGATGAGGTGGTTTTAATCACTTGTCGCATTGAGAATCCAGATTTGGATATGGTCAGTGGAGCTGCTGAAGATCGGGTTGAAGATTTTTCTAATCAGCTGTAAGAAAACTTCAATGATTGACAGTGTCTTATTCCTGTATAATCATCTTTTCTCTGATAATAATTCTTGTTACCAGGTATGAGATGAGATTTAATATGAAATCTGGTCTTGCGTCTCAAAAAGAACTATCAGCACCTGCCGTGGATTTTCCTAGAGTTAATGAGTACTACACTGGGAGGTACTTGGATCTCACAGTTCCATAATTAAAACTGTTTTATGATCCCCTCAGTTCCATAAGTATGTTGCATATTGGTTGACTGGTGGGTAGATAATCCTGTGCATTATCATTATATTTATGTTATTCTTATTCATACACAGGAGACAGAGATATGTTTATGGTACCATATTGGGCAGCATTGCGAAAGTACAAGGGATAGTCAAATTTGACTTGCATGCTGAACCAGATTCCAGCAAAAAAAAGCTTGAAGTTGGAGGAACTGTGCAAGGTATCTTTGACCTTGGTCCTGGAAGATTTGGATCAGAGGCCATTTTTGTTCCTCGTGAACCAGGTACCAACGGTGAAGAGGATGATGGATATCTTATCTTCTTTGTGCATGACGAAAACACTGGGTAATTTTTTAAACCTGTATTTTGAACTTTAAGATTTGTGACCCAATAATTGTCAGAAAGAAGATTATTTGTGGTCTTTCCTAGATTTTCTAATTTTTAGTGAGGTTCTTGTCTTACCAGAATACCAGTATGATATGTGCCATCTTATGTTACATCACTCTTTTTTACAATTAGACGTAAATTCTCACTACAAATGGTTCAGTGAGAGCAAGAATGTCCTACTATCTCGATAATACCTAATTGAATGGATCAGTATGGTCTCAAGGATTTAATGATACTAAATGATTTATACTTGTGATTTGCAGGAAATCATCCGTGAATGTAATTGATGCAAAAACAATGTCAGCTGATCCTGTTGCAGTTGTTGAATTGCCTAATAGAGTTCCCTATGGGTTTCATGCTTTCTTTGTGACTGAGGTTAGTAAAATTTTACTTTGCAAGAATGTGGCCAATATTTGACCATCCTTTTAATTTTAAGTGAAGTCTGTCTGTCCACCTTCAAAAATGGGAGCAAGCTTTTCTCATGTCATTACATCTTATAAGTGATCATATCTGAAATCCTCGTGAGCCAAGAATCCATTGTTATCGTTTGTGGTTTCGATTTGTTGTTGTTGTTGTGGTAGAGAAGAACGTTTGAAAGATTAACCCAGAAAGAGGTCTTTCCGGTGCCATGTAAATATGTAATGATATTAATATACTTGATGTGATGATGTAGATTCATTAAAGCTTTATACAAGTTTGGTCTTGCCAGTTTCTTGAGGAAGTTGTGTGTTACGTAGTATCTTAAGTCATGTTCGCTGCTTGGAGCCTTCTAACTGAAGTATACTGTTTACTCATGCTTGATATGATTTCTGGCAACACACACTAATCGTGATCTTTCTTCATTACCATTAGTATTCATTAACCACTAGTCCACACTACCAATGGTATAAAAAACATCGAGTTGGGAATTTTCGATTGTCAGAAGTTGTACAAATGATTTGACAGTTGTGTGCTTGTGTTATGTCCACAGGAACAACTTAAAGAACAAGTTGCATTTTAGTTGGAGTTATTGCTGCAGTCAATGAATCCAAATGCGATAAACGGGTGCAAGGGAAACATATGTAGAGTAATACTTTGTAATTGGTACTATGTTGTTGTAATATTATATGCATAACACCAAACAAAATGCATAGTACAATGTATATTGTAAGCTTCAGTATATACATGTGTAACAAATCATTGATACATTCCAAGCTATATCAATTATATATATGAAAGTTCACATTCAAGTTGAGTTTTGAATTATCGATATAAAAAATTACATTTAAATATTACGAGTATGTACAACTACTCATGAAGCATCACAAGCTCCGTCATTTAAGAGGTAAACTAACGGCATTACTTCCATTAGTTGGGAGTAAAGCAATTTCCCTTTATTTTTTATTTCCTCTTAGCCAAAAGTTGCATTTATTCACCAAATTGCCATTTGATTAGGAAAATTACATTGATTATTTCTCCACATAATTTGGGTTATTGACACATTTGACAGTAATCACTAGTCAACTCATTCTACTAGAGTAGCACTGATTCACTGAAACTGCCAATCACCAAAGACTGAGAATTTGAGGGAGAAAGTGAAAATATGGGCGAAGGAGAAGAAGGGAAGAAGCAAAGAGAAGAAAAACATGGAATTGTACAAGTTAACCCAAAACCCAGTAAAGGGTTTACTTCCAAAGCAATTGATTTGTTGGAAAAATTGATTGTGAAATTGATGCATGATCCTACTAAACCTCTCCATTATCTTTCTGGCAATTTTGCTCCTGTTCTTCAAGAAACTCCTCCTGTCAAGGATTTGCCTGTTCATGGACATCTCCCTGTATGTACCCTTTTCATTTCTTTTTCTCCATTTTTGGTTTTATTTATACTGCATGTCCTGCTGGTTGGTTTCCCTAATTATGATTTTGAAGTATTTAACTTTCTGGGTTTATGTTTGGTTTCCCTAATTATGATTTTGAAGTATTTAACTTTCTGGGTTTAATTTTGTGTACTGGTTTGATAATGCATTACTTTTACTAAATGGGTATTGTCCCATAGAAATGTTTAGCCCATGTTTGGTATATACACCCGGGTGCATAGTGCTCGACTGCTCGTTGTGCACCTGTTTTAAAATGACCGCCCCAATTAAGGAGGGTTTCAGTAGTCTATTGGGTGTGGAACTGTGGATTGTGCAATTTTTGTGGTGTGTTAGTGGAACTACTAATTTATTGTGAGTTATGATGATGATGGTTACATTGCTGTTGAAGTGGTGGTCATATAATTAAGAATAAATCAATAGTAGGTTTTGTGAAGTTTACTTCATACATTTGGTCCTTTGAAACTTTTGGTGGATATTGCTCTAATCTAGTACTAATGTGAATGGTTTCCACGTTTCAATCTGATCACGTATGTTCTCTAAACATCCCCAATTGACTATTTTAGCCACATACATCATACATGTATAATTTAGTAAAAATTAGGTATGGTTTAGTAGAGGATTAGTGCTATTTTTTTAATAATCAACTTTTTTCATTCTGCTTATTTTAGTGTTAATATTTTTTTGAGTGTGAAAAGATAGATATGAGTCACTTGGTCAATTGCTTTTACTTTGCCAATCTATATTATATTTGAACTCATTACTAGAGGCCAATATGGTGAATTTGCACTTTGTAGTCTAGAAGGGAGAACAAACGAGAAACATTTTTTTTGACTAGTAGGCCTGCAAATGCTAGTATTCAGCATTATGGCCTTATGGGTTATGAAGCCACAGAAATTTGCAAGTGCTGGTTAATACTTTGTTTTCATTTGACCTTGCTTTCTGTACGTGATTTGCTATGCCCTGGAAGAAAGACGATTGATATAACAAACTAGAATTTAATATGGAGTATGAAAATCTAAATGTTGTCAGATAGCTAAGTAGTACACACAACTTTTTCTGTTCGGTATAATCCGACTCTCTGAAATACTATGCCAGAAATTTAAAATAGCTCCTTTTCTTTTATTTGGCAGAAAATAAAATGGTTAAGCTCACTTGCACTTTGTTTGGATAGGAAGAAATGAAAGGAAAAGAAGAGAAGAGAAATGGAGGGGGACAAAATCTCTTGTTTGGGTAAAAGATTGGGGGAAGGAAGGGGAAGGAGAGGGAGGGATCCATTTTCCCTCTCTCTTTAGTAACCATAATCTCTCCAAAATTGGAGAGATTTGGAGGGAAAATGGAGCTCACCTCTCCCTCCCTTTCTTTTCCCTTCCCTTCCTCCATTTTCCCTCCCCTTCTTTTCCTTCCTTCTTTGCTATCCAAACAAAGCGTTGATGTTTCATACATAATTATTAATTATGACATCATCAATTACAGGAATGCTTGAATGGGGAGTTCGTCAGGGTCGGACCCAATCCAAAGTTTGCTCCTGTGGCTGGATATCACTGGTAAGTTATAACTAGTCTGTTGTGATTCACATTTAAAAAGGTGGTTACCTAAACATTGAGCTAATTATAGCTAGTATTTTTCTTGCAGGTTTGATGGAGATGGGTATGTTCAATACGTCTTTTTCTCGTATAACTGATTTGGATTATTCAATATTTCAACATAGTTAAGCATGTGGAGAAATGAACTATGAAAATTATTTAACCATTTTCTCCACTTCCTTAATGACTATAGTGCCTATATTAGGCCCAGAAATATCATTGAAGTTCAAGGCCTATTATGTCTCTTGTTCATGGATCATCTTTTTTCTATGAATATGTAGCTTTAAACTACATAAGTACATAGTACAAGCTCTATATTATTAGACAGCCAATCCCATAAGTAGTCACTTCCATTATATATATTTATGCCAAGAATAGATGCAATGAAGATGTGTGATCTGTTGTTTGCAGTCACATTAAGTTTCAGATTACTTTTTGTAACAACACCAACAACAAAAGTATATATGTTTTGCCTTCCTTTACAGCATGATTCATGGAGTACACATTAAAGATGGGAAAGCAACCTATGTCTCCCGCTATGTTAAGACATCTAGGCTGAAACAAGAAGAGTTCTTTGGAGGGGCAAAATTTGTGAAGGTAAGCAATTGGGTATCAAAATAGTCTCATCCCCTTATTTTTGCCCCATATGTGTATGTTCACTTTATTTATTTTTAGTTGTCTAAATTTGATGAGAGAATAATGGTGGGTCTAAAATATTGTTTGTGAGAGGAAAATGGTGGTCCCTATTGCTATATATGGTATGGAGCAAAATAAAAGGGATACCCCAATAAGGAAAGTGAAGCAAAGGGAAAAAGGGAGTAATGAATAACTCCTAGGAAGCAAAATGAATGTAATCCATTGTATAGACTCTTAATGAAGACCTGATGGATTTTTTTGCCTATTATGGATAAATAGGGTCTCTTATCGTAGGCCTTACATTTGTCTTTTTACATATCTTTGTAGATTGGAGATCTTAAGGGCCTTTTTGGATTACTTACAGTCAACTTGCAAATGCTCAGGGCCAAGCTGAAAGTACTAGATATGTCGTATGGAACTGGGAAAGGTTTTTTCTTCTACTTATACTCTATCAATCCTTAGTGTTTGGCATAAAAGCTCTCCCCTGTAGTCGGAAAATAAATATAACGTGGCTACTTGCACCATAATCCCATAAATATCTTGTTCACCGTGATCAATGCCTCAATGGTTTGAAGGAAATTTTACTTTAGTTATGGTTTTATGTTTACTTGTCATTTTGATTAAATTTGGGTCATATTTGTGAATATTTATCTTTATACAGCTAACACCGCTCTTATATATCACCATGGGAAGCTTCTGGCACTTTCAGAGGTAGATAAACCATGTAAGTTGTGATATTCTGTTATTTATTTTCATTCTGAGGTACCAAATTGAATGTTTCTTGTTTAACTTGATGTTGTCTATCCAGTGACTTGTGATAGCTCTTGCTAGTACCAGTTGTATGTGACACTAAGTGCTCCACTTTACTGTTTTATCCAGATGCTATTCGTGTTTTGGAAGACGGGGATCTTCAAACCATTGGAATTCTTGACTATGATAAAAGGTTGAGCCACTCTTTTACAGCTCATCCAAAGGTTGACCCTTCCACAGGTGAGATTTATTTACTCTCTCCCCCATAAAAGCACACACACTGATCAAACTCAAACTCAAACTCTTGGTGCAGGGGAGATGTTTACATTTGGCTACTCTCATCAACCACCATATATCACATACAGAGTAATATCGAAGGATGGATACATGCATGACCCTGTACCAATAACAATCCCTGCGCCTATCATGATGCATGATTTTGCAATCACTGAGAACTATGCTATTTTCATGGATCTTCCTTTACTCTTTAGACCTAAGGTATGGTACCTCCAACACCAAAAGAAGTTACCAGCTTTTTGTTCACTTCAAAAATTATCTTTCATGCAGCATCGTTGATTGAGGTTGGGGAGGGGGTGTTTAAACTTGCTTGCTAGCAGGAAATATTTTAGATTCTGTTGGAACGAAGGCTTAGCTGTTTGTAGTATTACAGTTGATGCCATACATCTTTCTAGGTTTTTGATGCTGTTGTGTTTTTTCCATTAAATTCTCCTTTTTGTCCCCACTCCCCCTCCCTCCAGGCCTCCACTAGTGCTTTTGTTATTAACATGTTGATGTTATATTCTTGAACTTCCAGGATATGGTGAAGGAAAAAAAAAAACTAATTTTCACTTTTGACTCAACGTTAAAGGCTCGTTTTGGTGTGCTACCACGATATGCTAAGAACGAGAGCTTAATCAAATGGTTTGAGCTGCCAGCTTGTTTCATATTCCATAATGGTGTGTCCTAGCTACTTTTTTTCTTTTTTTATTAGTCATAAATTCTAAGCATTTTTATCATATGATGAGAATATTTGTCGGTTTATTAAAATATAAAAAGTAATTGCATATTTCAGTGCATTTAATCATGTATATTGCTTATGTTGACAGCCAATGCGTGGGAAGAAGGAGATGAGGTTGTTTTAATAACATGTCGCGTTGATAATCCAGAATTGGATATTGTCAGTGGAGCTGCTGAAGATCGGGTTAAAGATTTTTCAAATCAGCTGTAAGAAAACTTCAATGGTCGGACACAGTCTAATTCCTTTTCAATCATCTTTTCTCTGATAATAATTCTTGTTACCAGGTACGAGATGAGATTTAATATGAAAACTGGTCTTGCGTCTCAAAAAGAGCTATCAGCACCTGATGTGGATTTCCCTAGAGTTAATGAGTACTACACTGGCAGGTACTTAGGATCTCACAGTTCCATAAGTTTTTTTATGATCCCCTCTGCCAGTTGGGTGTAATTCATATAGTTTGCGGGCTGCAGGGGGGAGATTATTTAGTGCATCATCATCATACTTATGTTATTCTTGTACCAAGCGCAGGAGACAGAGATATGTGTATGGTACCATAATTGGAACCATTGCGAAAGTACAAGGGATAGTCAAATTTGACTTGCATGCTGAACCAGATATCAGCAAGAAAAAGATTGAAGTTGGAGGAATTGTGCAAGGGATCTTTGACCTTGGTCCTGGAAGATTTGGATCAGAGGCCATCTTTGTTCCTCGTGAACCAGGTACTGCCAGTGAAGAGGATGATGGATATCTGATCTTCTTTGTGCATGATGAAAACACTGGGTAATTTCTTAAACCTGCATTTTATTGTCTGATTATAGTGAGGTTCTTGTCTGACCAGTATGATATGTGCCATTTTATGTTACATCATTCTTCTTTTTACTATTATACCTGAACACTTGCTACAAATGGTTCAATGGGAGCAAGAATTCTCGACTACTCTTTCTATAATACGTAATTGAATGGATCTGGTACGGTCTTAAGGGTTTAGTGACAATTAATGGTTTATACCATTGGTTTGCAGGAAATCGTCTGTGAATGTAATTGATGCAAAAACAATGTCAGCCGATCCTGTTGCAGTTATTGAATTACCTAATCGAGTTCCCTATGGGTTTCATGCCCTCTTTGTGAGGGAGGTTAGTAAAACTTTACTTTGCAAGAAAGCAGCCAATATTTGATTATCATTATAATTAAATTATTAACACTTAGGATTTTCAATTTCTCTTTCAATCTATCAGATACTATTATACAGAATTGTTTTTGACAGTTGTGTGCTTGTGTTATGTCCACAGGAACAACTTAAAGAACAGGTTGCATTTTAGTTGGAGCTATTGCTGCAGTCACTGAATCGAAAGGCGAAATTCGGGTTCAAGGGAAACATATGTAGAATAATACAATTACTTTGTAATTGGTACTGGACTATCTACTATCTAACATGTTGTAAAACTATTGTACTCCTATATTGTAAGCTTGAGTATATTCATGTGTAACAAATCATTATACATTATCTAAGCTATATCACATAAATGAATGAAAGTAATCATTCAAGTTAAATTTTGTAGGATTATTACAAAAAAGTTGCAATATCATATACAATCATGAAGTATCACAAGATCCATCTGCAACATTCATTGGCAACTGCAATTCAATTCTGCATTCTTCATAATTAATCTGCATAAAAATTTCAAAAAATTAAAAAGGTAAATAGTAGTTTCATAATAGATTTTGGCATAGCATAAAAAAAAAAAATTAAGAATTTATAAAGTTAAATAAATAAATAAATCCCTCAGAAATGCCTATTTTCCACATGAGATTGGAAGGAAGCAGGAAATGCAAGAAAAACAGAGTACCTCAAAAACCATTTGCAAAAATGAAAAATGGGAGCATCATCTGGAATTCTATGCACTACCAAATACCATTTGCCCAATCCATGTTTATTTGTTCAGATTACTAAATATTATCATCATTGGGATTTCTAGTAGTAATTAAGTGTGGAATTAAACCCTAAATTTGTGAAATTGATATTTGATGATTATGATAAACATCTTACCGAAGAAGCTGCTTCAATGGAGGAGGGAAAGCTCACAAATCGCTTCAATGGAGAATTCAGAGAATCGGAGGAGATTGAGAGAGAGAGAGAGAGAGAGAGAGAGAGAGAGAGAGAGAGAGAGAGAGGGGGTGGGGGGGAGGGGGAGGGGGAGGGGGGGGGGGGGGGGCAGCACTGCTGCGGCGCAGCTTACACGTTATAAACGTAGGAGCCCTAACAAGGTTTCTTGTCTTTTTTTTTTTTTTTTTTTTTTTTTTTTTTTTTTTTTTGGCCTCCTTACTAATAAATGAGTTTAATTTAAAAAACTTTGACCATAAATTCTCATTAATTAACAAAATTAACCTGTCAAAACACGAATTTAACCCGACTTGTTACTAACCTGACCTGAATTCAACCCGACCCGAATTGAACCCAACCTGTTATAAACCCGACCCGAAATCAACCCGACTTGTTATTAACTTGACCCAAATTCAACACGATTTGTTATTGACCCGACTCATATTTTACAAGACCTAATACTAACCCTACAAAAAAAATTCAACTTGATCTGTTACTAACCCAACTCGAAATCAACACGACTTGTTATTGACCCGACCTAAATTCAACCCAAATTGTTCCTGACCCGATTTCAAATCACCTTAAATGCAATTTAGACCATTTCATTATTGTTGATCAAAGCATTTTGTTTAGGGAGACCAAGTCGGTCCAGGCCAGCAAAAGAAATGAGCATCATCCTCAAATTTAAGAATTATATATAGTATATATTTGGTGTATGGTCAAAGGAGATAATTATCTTCCTAAATTATCGACAATAGTTCCCTATTATATATATTGCCATATATATTATAGTCAAAGGAACTTATTAGCTTGGTAAAAATGACAATTATCTATTTATAATTAGTAAAACCCGAATACGACATGACTTGGAAATGACCCTGATTGTAACCTGCAAATTATTGACTTGAACATAACCCGACTTGTATCTAAGAATGACCCAACCTGATTATAACCCGCAAATTATTGACTTGAACCGAACCCGAGACTGACCCGACTTAAAAATGACTCGACCTGATTATAACCCGTAAATTTATTGACTAGAACCGAACCCGACTCAAACTCGAGAATGACCCGACCTGATTCTAACCCGCAAATTATTGACTTGAACCGAACCCGAGTTGAACCCAAGAATTACCCTAACCCGTGAAAACTCGAATTAAACCCGACCTATTGTTCACTCGACCGGAATGTAACCTAACCTGTTATTAACCCGACCTGAACCCGATAAGAAGTATGACCCGACGTGACCCGACTCAAGCATGACCCAACGCAAACCCGACCCGCATAGGTTATGAAATTAATCCGATTGACCCGACCCGAGTTGACCCGACCCACTCTTACCGACCTAAACCCAACCCGTTTACCCGAATTGACAGCTCTACCCGAAAACTCCAAAATTTCTCCAAAAGCGTGGATATTATCCTTCAATTTTGGAATTTTTTAAAAAATTTTTCACTCGGAAATAAAAATTGCCGAAATGTTTACCATGGTCCCTAATACCCTCCAGGAGTCCAATTAGCTGGGTTGAACCATCCAATTTGCCTTTAAACGACCAATTTACCAGTTTACAACTTGCACCGATTTCATTAACTCAAGCCTATCACGAACATTTATGACAACATATAATGATCATATATGGTTCCAAACAGTATTATATGACCCCGAGATGTATCCCCTAAATCTCAATGCTTTTCGACACCGGGCCCCATAATCGAAATTTCTCAAAAAGCTTGGATATTAGCCTTCAATTTTGGAATTTTTTGACTTTTTTTTCGCCCGAATATAAAAATTGCCGAAATGTTTACCATGGTCCCTAATACCCTTCGGAAGTCCAATTGGGTGGGTGGAACCATACAATTTGCCTTTAAACAACCAATTTACCGGTTTACAACTTGCACCGATTTCATTAATTCAAGCCTACCACGAACATTTATGACAACAAATAATGATCATATATGGTTCCAAAAGACATTATATGACCCCGAGATGTACTCCCTAGAATTTCAAGACTTTTCGAAACCGGGCCCCGAAGACTTCAAAAATTCTCAAAAAGCGAGGATGTAGCCTTCAAGTTTTAAATTTTTTGACTTTTTTTTGCCCGTAAATAAAAAATTCCGAAATGTTTACCATGATCTCTAATACCCTACGGGAGTCCATTTGGGTGGGTGGAATGACATGCTTAAGTCGTATTACCTGATCAAAAGTAATTCCTAAATCCTCTAACTAATGCAGATAGGGAAGTAGGGTCGAATCCACATGGAAACAAGTCTTTTTATTCCTAATTAATTAAAAGTAATCTAAATTATTAAGTAACCAATTTGTTATTATTAAAGGGAACTAAGCTACTAAGATCAAGGATAGGGAAAATCAATGAATAAAAGGCATAGGGCATAGGTTAACCAATAAATAACATTCCAGGGTAAAACATAATAATCAATCATCAATGCATCAATTAATCAAATTGTAAAGGGCTTTCGCTACGTATTACAATCACAGAGTTAATCTACCGATATTAAATCTCATCTCTCGAATATCGACTTAACAATTTTTAAATTATTCTGCCTATTGAAACTAAGCCTAAATATCAATTCTCATCTCTCGAATCAATATTGCTAAACTGATACAAAAAATACCTGCACAAATCTAGTTGCATAGCATTAAATCAATCAATAGCAAATTAATCAAGCATTGATAATCAACAATAATAAATTACCCCTTCATATTATTTATGGATCCCCATGAACCCTAGAAAGAAAACTACTCACGCATAATTAAATCTAAACAAATCAAAGCAATTAAACAAGTCATGATGAAATAAAGAAATAAAATCACTGAAATTAATAGAGAAGAAATCGTTACCAAAGTTAACGAAAATAATGAGTTGAATCAACAACAAAGAGTAAAGTTGTAGAGAGAGAAAATAAAACCAAGTAGAGAGAGAAAGTCTAAGAGAAGAGGTAAAAAAGATAAAAGAGATACTAGACTCGCTTAACGAAAACGTATTGATAGGTTGTCGTACACCTGTCAAAAATAAATTCCTAACAAAACCAACTAACAATGTAGTAGGGTAAGTAGGGTCGAATCCACAGAGAGATGGTTATTCAATCTAACTTCTAAGGTATGGAGAAACTAAACTATGTCACAAAATTGGGATAGAAAAATAGTCTAAATTAAAATAGAAATAAAATAATTAATAAAAAGAACTAGGGTTATGGTTCACCATGTTTATAGCTCTAAATCTATCAAATATCAATAAGAATTCAATCATTCAATTATCTAGAGCAATTGCTAAGCCTACGGTCGGGTCTTAACGCTCTCAATTCAACATATGCAGTACGGTCGCTAACATAATCAGAATTGCTAATTGTAGGGAAGCCTCTAAAAGTAACATCTTTCGATTCAAACTCTTATTAACAAAATTAATCAAACAATTGATCAGGTCGCAAGATTAACAATAAAACACTATCAATTAGAGAAATCAATAATCAAAATATTAAAAATATCAATCAAGATCATAATATAAACATGGATTCCCAAACCCTAGAAATAACCTACTCTAACATGGAAGAAATAATAAAAACTAGACCTAAGGAATAAAACATAATTAAAAGCAAGAAAATAGAAATAAAATACCTCAATGAATTAAAAATAGTAAACCCAAGAATCATCCATGGAAGAATCCATGGAGATGCCATGAGAAACTAGGGTTCGAAAGAAAACTGAAAAGAACGTAAAATAATAAAAAGCATAAAAAAGGCATAAGGGAAAAATAATATCCCTTGAGTATTTATAATATCCTAAAACTAATCTAAAAATAATTATAGAAAAGAAATAAGAAAATAATAAATTACATAAGTTGAATTATTAGTGGACGATAGAAGATGACGTGGCCCGAAGACTTGTGACGATGTGAATGAAAAAGCTACTCGAGGCTTCAAGGCTGCTCGACCAGACCTGCGGGCGCAGGCTGGTTGCTGCGGCCTGGCAGCAGCACCTGGATTCAAACGCCTATAACTTCTGTTCTAGAAGGCTTCTTGGGGCGTGTGACCTATCATTGGAAAGCTCTTTAAGTCTAGTTTCCAACGCATGAATCGCATCAATCCGATTTGTAGAACTCAAGTTATGATCAAAAGAGTGGACAAAGGTCAGTTTTGCCACTTTGTAAAAATCGTTTTTCTTCGTTTCTAACTCAAATTCAATTCCGAAAAGTGCATAACGACCCTTGTGGATGCTATTTTCATTTCTCATACATATTAATCTCATACTAAGCTTCCATAAATGCATATCCTTCATTGAGCGACATCGATTCATCAACTTTTCATCCTTTCATTGTCCGATTCTTCCAAAATCACTCCGAAAGCGTCCAAATAGCTATGGAAACTATCTGAAACATTAAGAAAACACAAACAAAGCGTAATAGAGCACAAAAAGGACAACTTATGCAATTGCGATCTAAAAAGGGACGAAAATACCTAAAATGCTACTATAAAAATAGCATAAACGTGCCTAAAAATCCTATATAAATGTGATTCATCACGTATTTATATTAAGCAAGAAAATCTTAAACTTAAACAAACTAAACGACGCCTAAACCCTTTTCAGAGACACGCGCCCGGTCGGGCGTCACACCGCCCGATCGGGCCCGCCTTTTTGCATCATAAGTCTTCTCTCGCGCCCGGTCGGGCATGACTTCGGGCGTAGGACTTCTTTTCTTCTTCCCCCCCCCCCGGCCGGGTGCGCCTTCGGACGGACCATCTTTGGCCAGGCAAGGCCACTTGGGCTATCTCTTGGACTTCAATTGGGCTCCGATTCTTCAGCCCAATCCGGATTTCCTCTTCGGGTCTTGAATACTGGGTCCAAATGCCTTGATATCTCAATTGTCGAGCCTTTAATCACCGGTTTGATGAATCTAACTGGCCTTGGGCTACGAAAAGTGGTCGTGCTCCTCCAATGCTCGTAGTCGCTCCATAAAATCCCGGGAAAATGCTCCAA